ACTTCAACACACAGTCAGCCCTTCGTATCTGTGGGTTCTGCATCTGCAGACTCAACCAACTGTGGACAGAAGATATTTGGGAGAAAGAAAATTCCACAAGGTTTCAAAAGCAAAACTCAAATGTGCAGTATGTAAATACTTCGTTGAATCCATGAAAATGAAATGAGGTGTAGGCACTGTTAGGTGATAGTTAAACTTTAAAGTATATGGGAAGAGATGCAAAGCTCATACACAAATACACCATTTTATAGCAAGAGCTTGCATACCTGCAGATTCTGGTATCTGCAGGAGGTCCTGGAACCAATTTCCTATGGATACCAAGGGACAACTGTGTACCTAAGACTAATAAGTTCCACAAAGGCAGAGACTGGTCTGTCTGTTTTGCTCCTCAGTGTAGCTCCAGCCCTTAGAAAGATCACATGGTACCAAGTGGGCACTGAATATAATTTAGGGCATGAAGGAATTAGTTGTGTTGTTAAAACCAGAACCTTATAGAAGATGACAAATCATAAAAACATTTTTCCTCTCAATGTTTCCATTACTCGCTTCCATTTGTATGTTTTTTATGGCTTTGTGTTTATTAAAACCCAAGGGAAAACAGTAAGTTTTAACATTCAGGTCTAAATATTTATTAACTAAATACTTATTCTTAAATTGACCTAAATACAGTGCCTGAGTTTTGTGTTAGTTTATTCTAAAAATCAGGTGCTCCACAACTCTTCTACAGTCCTATTAAAAAACCTACAAAATACGAACTTACACCATTTGCCACTTTTGAATATACCCTTCCTATCACCCCCGTACATGCCACCATACTTTTGGTCTCTGTTAAGTGGCCCCTAAGTTCATGCAAAGAAATTCAGAGCGCCGTACTGCTACTTCTTAGTCCCTGAGTCAAAGTAAACTCATTAAGTATTAACAGTGAACACTATTTTCTCTTACACTGCCTCATTTCCTCTCTTAAATACACTCATTTACTAACTTAGTTAGGCCTATCTACAAAGTAATCTCTGTACCAACACTAGCAGAGTAAAACTGATATTTCAAACTTTAAAAAAATCAGTAAAAAAGACATTTAAATAAAATTGGGTTATTTATAAATTGATTATAAGCACAGTTTACATAGGAAAAACATCCAAACTTAGGATTTCATTATTTATAACGACAAATAAATTGACCAGTAGAGGGCACTCACAAAAGGGAAAGAGCTAGCCACAGTCTTAAAGAGAAATACATTAAGGAAATTGCAGTGCATATCCTATTTCAAAAACAGAATGTTTTAATAAAACAATGGAGTAGTTATCACTCCTCATAGATACCTGGCAATATATATTTATATAAAATCAGATAACAGCTTACAACATCGCATAAGGCTTTTCTTACACCACTCTTCAACAATCATTTAATACTATAAAATTTCTCTCTATAATCTACATACTGCATTATGTAAAATAAATTTTGTAATTAACACATGAAAATATAAACCTAATAAACTAATAAACCTCTGCAAATAAATATAGGTCAGAGCACAGAAGATGAAATAAATCAATCTAGTTATTAACCTACTCTTCCTTACTGAGTAGGAAACCACTCCATCAAAAAAGGGCATAATATTTGAACTGAAGTAAAGTGTCACAACAAAAGCATGCAGATGTCAAAGAATTAGAGCTTGTGGAAAATACTTCTTGCTGTATTTTTACTAGATATTATACACTGCAGATACTTAATATATATTTACTGATTGTTCTGATCTCTATGTTTATAACTACATTATATATTTCTTAAGAGAAGATTCTCCACCATATTTTACCTTGAAAAAGAAATTTCAGGGGAAATGTTCTGATAACAAGTGATCTCTAAACTATAAAAGCATATATTTCTAGCCAAGTATCATGTTTGGGGGCCTGAGTTTTTAATAACCTTGCCCTACTAGAGAGACTAATAACCTAAACTCCACAAAGGCAGCAATGGTCTGTTTTGGTAGACTTTATAAAAGATAAAATCTTTTAGAGCAAAAGTGATTATCACATGTACAGCCCTAAACAAAAATATGCTCCATCTATGTAACATATGCCTAACTCTATCATATCTCTGCCATTAAACTGGCATTAGATAGCAGGCTAATTTCAAATTTTGGTATATTGATAAATCTCAATCAGTCTCCATTAATAAGTATCTTCTTAGCTTGAAAGACCGTTATACTGTACTGTTGTACAACTTTTAAAAAGTTATACAAGGATACAGTAGAAATCTCACTTAACTTGGTCTCAGAAAATTTAAGTTCAAATCCTACCACTTTCTAACTAAGTATCCTTAGGTGAGTTAGAATCTCTCAGAGACCATTATTTATAAAATTTAAAAAAAAAAAAAAAGACCACCCTCTTTACCTCCTACTATAAATACTTGCAAATTCTAAACCACTAAAAAATATAGTATACTAAACTAAAAAATTTTTAAATTCTTTCCATCAAAAAAAGTAGGAAAACTGGCTCAACACCTGTAGCACAGTGGTTATGGCGCCAGCCACATACCCCAAGGCTGGGGGGTTCTAGCCCAGCCCAGGCCAGCTAAACAACAATGACAACTACAACAAAAAATAGCCAGGTGCTGTAGCAGGTACCAGTAGTCCCAGCTACGTGGGAGGCTAAGGCAAGAGAACTGCTCAAGTCCAGGAGTTTGAGATTGCTATGATGCCACAGCACTCTACCAAGGGTGACATAGTTGAGAGACTACCTCAAAAAAAAAAAAGTTGGAAAACTAATGAGAATTCCAAATGTGCAAAGCCTATGTCCTCTCTAATTTTCTCTCTGACCTACATTATTCACCAAACAAAACCTAACAGCAGCAGTGAAATCTCCGACTCTCCTTAATTTTTTATAACACGGAGTCAGCATTTTTATTCAATCAACTATTAAGTTAAACTACTAAGTTCTACTGCTTTTCTTATAGACGAACTACACCAAAAACTTAATGTGTCAGTTCTCCTCATTTAACATAGGAGATAAGAAATGATCTCATACCTTTAGTCATAAGTAGCTAAACTATGTGACAGAATGTCAGTTGCAAAGTTCATAGGTAATCAATGCTTCCCAGAGTTAAGTCTTCTGGTTTGGCAGAAATCATAATCAGAGTTATGGTTTATAACTTTTAAGTTTATAAACTTTTTCAACCTTCCTCCCAAATAAGGAATTCTACTAGCTTTATTTTTTAACAAAGTTTATACTGCATTTTAACAATTTTGAGCTAAGTATTTCCTAATCTACTTTATCACATTCATGATGTCATGCTATCTTCATTCCTGACCTCTGCTAGGAAACAAAGCGTAATAGAATTTCTCAGGATTTCAAGGAAGATGGAGGGCTTTTCTGCTAAAATCATCTTCCAAAAATCCCAGAAAAACTTTCATGCTTAACCTAAATTCTATTAAAATTTCTTTTTATATCTGATTTAAATGGTAAAGTACACCAAGTAACCCTGAGTCTGGAATGCAGATTAAAAAAGGTGAACCACTCAATTTTCATCAAAGAACAAAACAGAACTACAACATAGTATTGAAGGGACTTGCCAAAAGTAAATACATACAGATAATTATACAGGTAGTCCACTTCAATCAATCTGTTCTTTTTTACTAAAGCAAATTCTTAAACTTGGAAGCCAAATAAAAGTTGCTTCCATGTTTAAATCAAATCTTTGTAAACAAGCATTAGTTCTACATTTTGTAGGAACAAAAATATTTGACATTTCCTTCTCAACAGTTATCTAATCAATCCCCAAAGTTCCAAATCGTATTAAACATCTTTCCAAGGACGCCAATGCCCTCAGAATCCACCTCAGAGCAGTGTGTTTCTTCTAAGACATTACAGAGCACACTACCTTAATAGTGCATTTAGACCTGCTTTAGATTCCACGACTTGGGACTTGGAGAAACTTTTGGGAAATTTTTCAGAATTGATTTTTAAAAATTGGTACATTAAACTGAGAATAAAACCTAATAGATTAGAACTGCTTAACCTGGGGTACATAAGCCTAAGAAATAATCTAACAAAATAAAGCTATTTCAAAGATAAGATTATATACTATTTCCATCACCACTGATGTTAAATTTAACATTCAGACTATGCATGAAATATGCTAATAATTATGTTCTAAAAATGGGTTGACAAGGCCAGTTATAGAATATCCCATCCTGCAGCGGATCTTTGGGATTAAATAAATCCTTACCTGCTTGGGATAATTTGAGTCTAGTGCTGCCAGAAGGCAGTAAGAAATACCACCACCTGACCTCTTAAGGTCTGTTCTAGGTCTTTACCTCTCACTTTGCTTTTGGACTTTGGTTAAGTTTTCAAAAAACTAAGAAGACTCTGAAAATAATTCTCAAAGCTAATTTATCAAATAATAATAATATATTATTTCCTTAATTTCCTAATATTTCCTTGAGTAAATTAAAAAAGGAATGAAAAGGTAAGGACTGGTAGTGGTACCTTTGTACAGCACATCTTAGGCAAAGAACGAGCTTTTGAAAATGTATCAGGTAGCTATAGGTTCTCTACTACTTTAATGTTGGGGGGGGAATAGGAAAATAATACTAATTAAGTTTAAAAAACCCAACAAACATCAAGTACATCTCACCAGTATAATTCAAAACGCCAAGAAACCCATAAAAATAAAAGTTACATTAAAAAGTGACTTTTAGGTATACATAAGACGCAAATTCACTTTACTACCCTCTCACAAAACTCAGAAATACACTTCAAACCAAATTCACATATACTGATACAGTGTGAATGAATACCAAAAATCTTGATCTTCTCCCAAGCTAAGGCTTCCATATTTATGATTACATATAACGTCAGTGAAAGCCTTGAAACCCATATACATTTCAGATAACTTTCAGTATAATCACCTTGTAATAAGTACTCACAAAAATCATCAAAGAAACTTTGATTTTACCAAAGGATGGTCCTGCACAAGTAATATGCAAAGCATGTAACAATATTTACCTCTATTGTTGGATCATATTCATCCACAAAGTGATTCTGAATTAGCTGTATCGTCAAGGCACTCTTGCCTACGCCACCAGCTCCAACTACCACAAGTTTATATTCAGTCATTTTCAGCAGGCCTTATAATAAAATAATTAAAACATGAGTAAATTAGAATATGCATTATATACACAATTAATTATCAAAACTCTTATCAGTGCCTTTTAACACAAACTCAACTTTATGTGGAAAATTATTGCAAAATAGCTTACAAAAGTCTACGATAAAAACTTCAGGTGACTACAGACATGTATCGTAATAAAACATACTTCATTTACAAACTCTCTCATAAACACTGAAGAAAAATGCACACAGACTACAGACACTTCTTTTATCTTGTGTTCAGGTTGTTCTATCTAAACAGCCAGACTGCTGCTATTCTGTAGCAGCTGACGGCTCTCCAAGGATCACATCATGACTTCACTCAGTACAAGTGTCTCCCACAGTTCTCTATACCCTGTAGACACACCCACACAGAACTTGTTGACAGCTATCTCATTCCTATCAGTTCAACATTCCTAGTCAACTCTGGCCTCTAACAGTTAGAAGTAGACATGCTAAGAGTGTCTTTGTTGGAGCCAATAGCCATAGAAATCTTTATAAAGACCTTATCATAGAGTTCTTCTGTATAAGGAGCAATACTCATCAGGTGGGGGGCAAAGGGTCAAGTGTCAAATAAGGCTGGACTGTTGTTATGGGGAAATAAAAATTCAGACCAGAAGCAGATAAGCATAATATGCAATGACATTTTAATCATAAAACATCTCTGGGGAAAATAAAAGCAATAACTAAGAGAACTTTGACAACTCTGGATTAACTGTTCAAGTGATCTGATCAATCACAGTATATAATCCTGTGTTAGTGCTAAAAAACAGTACTTTTATACAAGAAAAATACAATTAAATACAACGGAGATGAGCACTGCTTTTAGTAAGAAAAAACTTTTAAAAGGCTGGGTGTGATGGCTCATGCCTGTACTCCCATCACCTTGGAAGGCCAAAGCGGGAGGATTCTTAGAGGACAGGAGTTCAAGACCAGCCTGAGCAACACTGTGATAACACATCACTACAAAAAATAAAAAAAATTAGCCAGGCATAGTGATGTGCATCTACAGACCCAGCTACTTGGGAGGTTGAGGTAGAAGAATTGTTTTAGCCTAGGAGCTTGAGATTGCAGCAAGCTATAATGATGCCACTGCACTCTAGCCCAGGCAACAGAGCAAGACCATGCCTCAAAAAAACAAAAAAACCTCAAACATTTAAAAGATGTAAGTGAATGTGACTCAGTAATCCAAGTTACTTTTTATTCTTTGCTTTCCATACATCATCTCCCAACAGGTGCAATGAATATTGATAACTTGTACAATTAACAAGCACAAGATAAAAAATAAAATCTGATATATTTTTGTCTTCTGTTGCAAACTTTTTGAAATAAAATGAATGTATTTAATTCATCTCCTTTCCCTCAGGTAAAATATTACAAATAGTACAATGCAGAAAAAATGGCAGTAATGAATGGCATATATTGTAAAAATACATATGTACACAGCATCATATTTACTGAAGACCAAAATTAAAAAATGATAATAATAATTTGGTTTCTCAAATGGTAACACACTAAACTTACTCCTGAATCCTCACACAAAGAACACAAGCTAGAAAACTGTTGTAGCACAGACTGTTAGACTCTAGCTCCCTGCCCTCCTGTTCCACCTATCCTTATGCACTACTCATTGAGGGCCAAGGTGACAACCACTACAAACTATCTGCCCCCAGGCTTTATTCCAAATGTAGGTCACACAAAATGGGATAGATGTGAATCATTCCTCTACCTCCCTGCCCACCTCATCCTGCAGAAGTTTGGAGAGCCTAAGAGTACAGTTCTTAAAATGCAGCCTGGGAACCCTTCTGTGGTGGGGGTGCCCAAGTGGTCAAAATGATGTTCATAATAGTAGTAAGGTGTTCTCTACCCTTTTGACTCTCATTCTTTCCCAAGTATACGGGAGAATTTTCCAGATGTGTGATCACAACAGATTGAATGCAGCTGCAGATATGGGACTCCATATGTCTTCTATTTAGCTGAACAATTAAAGAGATTTGCTAAAGTGTGAAAAAATGCCACTCTTCTAATTTTTGGTTGTATTTTGGAAAACTATTTTTTTTATTATTTTTCATAAAATATGTTATTCCTGTTACCAATGTGTTTATTTCTATTTTTAAATGAATAATTGTTTAAAATTTCTCATTTTATATGGTAAATATTGATAGATCCCACAGAAATCAAAGATTTTTAAGATCCTCAGTAATTTTTAAGAATGGGAAGGTGGTCCTTATTAATACCAAAAAATGTGCCAACCTAAGAGACAGTGTGGACAGATACTGTATTAGAGTTTAGTTGTAAATGTATGTCTAAATTCAGAGACACACACCTTCTGGCCTACTACTTATTTACACAGTGGTTGCTTCCAAAAAAAAAATTGAATTGAATTTTTAAAACCATTCAATATTTAAATCCACTAAAGAGTACTGAGTTCCAAAGGAATCTTACTGAATGAAGATCACAGGCCAGAAAAGGCCCTCTCACCCAAAGTTGCAAAAGCTAGCAAGGAGTGGAACTGGGACTAAAACCCAACAATTTTCTTAAGAACAAGAAATTTTTTTTTCATTTTTGTGATAAGGCTACCAACTACAATCTAAAGAAGCATGGTTGAGGATGCCTGTCTCAAAGTAAATAGTACTTCTATCAATTATATTTGATGTCTACAGTCTATCCCATGTAGAAGTCAGCATTTTGGACGTTAGTCACTTTAGAGTGACACCAGTTGTATGGTTATTTCCTAGCTGATGATCACAAACATCCCTTTTCCCTGTTTAATTTCCTTTTAAACGATTTCCTACTCGAAATATACATACATACCTACTGTGTAACAATTAGAAAATACCTTTCTGTTTTTGACCCTTCCTTTTGATTTAAGAGAGCTAGCTTAGGACTTCAACTAGAATATGCACAAGCCTAAGAGTATTTCAGGCAGTTAGCTGGAGGACTGGTACAATTAATTCTTCTTGTTAGCCAGTTTAAAAAATCATGTGAGTGCTGTATTGTCCTAACTCCCGGGGTGGGGAACAAATCTGTAAGGAAAAGGGCAATACAGTAGAGATGGGAGGAAAGGACAAAAACAGGCAAATTAAATTTCAAGTACTATTTTAGCTATTGCTGTCTACACTCAACTAGCAAAAAAAAAAACCCTTGTTTTTGCTCTGCGGGTTTTCTTCGTGTGTTTTAACTTGACCAAGCAAAAACAGACCTTGTGGGATTAACTTTTTCCTTTTCACTGTAGGTCATAGGCTCTACGTGTAGGGTGTTGGCCACCTGTTCTTCCACCACCATCTCTACCTCACCTCCTCCTTTGTGGCCACAGCAATGTCATAGCCCATACATGGGGGAGGGGAGCAGTCAGGAACTCAGAGGCAGATGCATTTTTTCCCAAACACAATAACCTCGAACAGTGGTCTCTAAGTACTCTCCCATGCTCTTCCAAAACGTGACCTCCCTTCTTACCCACACATCCCCTACACACTAAAAAGGACCACTATCCGTGCAGCCTGCGCTCGAGGGAGAAGTTTAGACCTCCGTCCTAGAGATGCTAGATGCGGCAGAGAAGGCAGAACCGAGGCAGCCGAGTGCTGGGAAGGGAGGAAGAGGTGCGGGAGCCGGGAGAGGGGGAGGGGAGGCTGGAGCGCAGCGGGAGTAACCTCCACCGCACCCGACCGCCCCGAGGAGCAGCCGGCCCGGCCGCGAGTTTCTCCCCTGCCGCCTCCAGCCGTGGCTCTCGGGGAGGAGGAAGGAAGGGGTTCCCCGTCCAGGAAGCAGCACAAGCGGCAACCGCCTCCAGCCTCACCCTCTTCAGCCCCGCACCGCCCATTCCTCACTCCCCGCGTCGCCGCGTCCCCGCGCCTCCCATAGAGGACCCCCCCCACCCCGCCCGCCCTCC